AGAGCAGGGTAATGCCACTAAGCAACTAGGCAGTTTCAGGCAACTGACTGCTGAGGCTGGTTTAAGGGTGTGGAGACCCCATATTTCACATATTTGCATGTTTATAGTTCTTAACTTATAGGGTATGCTTAGTAGAGTGCAGAGGCTCCTTGTTATTAATCCTCAGAGTAGAATGTATTCTGAACCCCAGTTCTTTATTCTTTAGGCACCATTCAGGAAGATTACCTGAGAGAGCTGCTGACAACAATGGGAGATCGGTTTACAGACGAGGAAGTGGATGAGCTGTACCGAGAAGCACCTATTGACAAAAAGGGAAATTTCAATTACATTGAGTTCACACGCATCCTTAAACATGGAGCAAAAGATAAAGATGACTGAAAAGAATTCCAAACTCCAGCCAAATGATTCTTGTCGCCACTTTGGGTATTTCTGAGACTTTTTCTTAGAGCCCATAGCATGCCCTAGCTTTACAGCTTTTGCCTTTCTTGTATTTATTCTCAGCCATTTTGGGCACATGCATCTCTATAATCAGACTGGAAATGGGACTTTTTTTGTCATTTTCAGAATAGAAAATGGGGTAATTTAACTTACCAACCTCCCCCCAAATAACTGCAGTCTACACAGAGTCAGTATATTTTTTCAGAGAAAGTTATTCACTCAATTTTTTCTGAACCATAATTAAACTTGATGATAAAAACTTACTTGTTTAAAACTTCTTTATTTACCAAAATTGGCTTTTATTAGTCTTAGTTGCCTCTTCCAAAGACAAGTAGATGAGGCAAATCCTAGAAAATGGTATGGTTGTTAGACCTTTCCCTTAACTTCTTCCAGTTTTCCTAACAATCTTATCTCCTCTATTCATTTCTTCCCCTCACAAAGAAATCCAGTTTTAACTGCCTTAATTGTGTTTCCTGTACTTTGTTTCCAATTTTAAAAATAATTTCCTGTATAATTTGCATATATATGATAGTTTTGGTAGCTTTAAATCCTTAAGTTTAACATATCTGCCAACATCCCTCTTTACTTGTTCTAAGCTTTTGCACATTACTTAATGTCATTTAAAAATAGACGAGGCCACTGAGTATTTTAATTTGTCCTCATTTTTAAAACTATTTTAGACCCAAAGATTCTGTGGAGTACTTCTACCAAAAAGTTAGATTTTTGTTTTTTGTATTGTATTTCAGTGTTGGAAATACAATACAGTAGTTTTTATTATATAAAGCTTTTCTTTAACATAACAATCCTTATTGAAATACCGTGTTTGTTTATGCAGAGATTCACCATGAATCCATGTGTGAATTTTGGACATTCCTGACTTGACCACAATCAAAACAGCTGAAGCTACATGCCTGGGAAAGTGAGATCATTTGATTTCAATCCTAAGAATAACTTCTGCTATTTCCAGAAATGCAGGACTGTCAGAGTTAATTAGGGAGTGGCTGACATGTTTATTTGCTTTGGGCTTCAAAAATCTGACTCTCAAAGATTCATGAGTTTAAAAGGTGAAACATTGGGGGGAAAGTTGGTTGAAAAAATTTGACAATTAGTCTATAAAGATGAGTAATTGACAATTACTCTAATAACTTGACGTTTTATGCTACTATTAGCAAGACTATCCCGGGCAAAATATTACCTCATTCAGTAAACAAATTACTGAATGCATTCACGATGGCAGACCTCTGTACTCAAATGGATACGTAAGCTAGATCCTTTAACTTGTGAGGCCAGCTTTACAGAAGTAGAAGGACCAGTATAGTATCAAGACTGCTCTTGCCCCTTTCAAGTTTAGAATCTTAGCACCTTAACTGTTTGCCTTTTTATGTGTTCTTGAATTTCATTTGGTGGTTTAAGCAAAGTACTTTTTCCAGGCTATAGCCGTGATGCTAAAATCTTGTTTACTGAATTGAATTCCCATTTCAACTGAAAAAAATGATCACTTCCACTTTAACAGATTTCTAGTGAAAAACAATTAACATTGTTTCCACTCAGAAAAAAGTGGTCTCATATATCTTGCAGTATCCCCATTTTTGATAACTGCCCAAAGAACCAGCTGTCATTAGGAGCAGTGCATGGTATCCCTTGAAGGAAATAAGTCTTATAATTTAGTAATAGCAATCTCTGTGTAGTAAGTAGACTTTCCTTAAGCAAAGATAATTGCTAATAAAGCTAAAAAAGCATCTACTCTCAAAAGTGGATTTGACTGAAAAAAACCAGTGTCTTAAAACCAGTCTCCATGATGAAAGTCATACTTCAAACCATTACAAAAGTTCTAATGAAACCAGCCTAATGGACAGCAACATCCTTATCCACTTGTTTATGATTATCTTGTCATCTGCACTCCAGGGCCCAAATTTTATTTGATCAAGGAGCCTATGGTTCGATAGAGCAGGAATTTGTGGTTGAGTGCTACTGGGGAAAAGGGGAGGAAAGCCACTCGAGGAGTAACACTTAGACTCGGATGTGAGGGCAACTTGTAAGAAGAATCAGAAGACAATAAAAGGGCTTGGAGAGAGAGAGAGACCCACAATAAGTATGGAAACCATAAATTAAAAATTCAGTTCCTCAGTTATACACACTGGACAAAGATATGCCATAATTAATCAGTTCCCAAGTGCTGGATATTTAGATAATCAATTTTTCATTAATGTAGTTCTTTTGAATCTAGAGAAAAATACCTTAGAATTATTTTTCTTTAGCACAGTGCTATCCAATAGAACTTTGTGATAATGGAAAGGCTCTCAGTGCTGTCCAATAAGGACACTAGCCACATGTCACTATCAAGCACTTAAAATGTGTCTAATATAACTGAGAAACTGAATTTTTAAATAGCCACATGTAGTTCGTGACTACTGGAAAACAGTTCTAGAAACCAATAGATCAAAGTCAAAATACAGTCAGGGTGTCTCAGCTATGACCTTAATTAAGGTGGCCAGGGTGAGAGTTTATGGGATGGTAATAGACCATACTTAGAAGAGCCTGAAGACAAAGACCTAAGAAGCCAAAATTTTACAAGTGAGAAAAAGATTATTTAAACGTGGACCAAAGGGCAGACTGCAGCTAAGAGAAAGAGAAATTATTTTACAAACAGGTGTGACTTCTCAGCAATTACTTTTTAAACTAGATTGAGAAAAGGCAGTTATGATTGGGACCTTGAGCTGGGATGAAGACCAGAACATCAGCATCACCTGGGTGCTTATTAGAAATGCAAATTTCTGCCCCACCCTAGACTTACTGAATGCATGGGGTTGGGGCTCAAGAATCTTTTTACCAAGTCCTCCAGGTTTTTCTTGTGTGTGCTACTGTTTAAAAACTGCTATAGAGGGGCCGGCCGAGTGGCTCAGTTGGTTAAGAGCTCGCTCAAGAGTTTGAGCTCTGAGCGACAGCGGTTCGAGTCCAGCCCGAGCTGAGCAGCCGCTGAGCTGCCAACAGGTAGCAGGATGGCTCAGCTTAAGAA